GAAGAGGCAAAGATGTGTGTGTGGGTGGGGAGGGGTGTCCTGGGGCTTGCTTGCCAGACAGTCTTGTTGAATGAGTGAGTACTGAGCTCAGCCAGAGACCTTGTCTCAAAACAGAAGGTAGAAGATGGTTCCCGCTGTCAATCTTTCTTTGGCCCCCATATGCACACAAACGGGTACACACGCATACACAGAAATGCAAATTCTGACCCAGCCATGGGACTTTGTAACCATAGACAGTGTATTACTTCTCCATCTCTGAAGGAGGGTGATGATCACTCCTCTCCGTCGGACTCCAGTGCATTGCTATAGTGACAGAGGAGTTTGGACCGATAAGCTCTTTGCTCAGTATGTCACCTGTGATCACCAACACTCCATCATGAAAGACATTAGTTGTTCTCAATCTGGACCGAATGATTTAAAAAAAAAGTCACCTGGGACGTTTAAGAACAGATACTTGGGGGAGGGGGTGGGAGAGGGAGAGGGACGTGAGATTGACATGTGAAGAAACCTTGTTTCTAATTTGAATTTAAATTTAAAAATAAAAATTTTAATATTAAAAAAAGAACAGATACTTGTATAGTCTGGAGAGGGTGTTGAGCCGGGCAATAATTCCAAAGCATCCGGAGTCGAGGACTGGCGTGCATTGGCAGTGGGACTTCTCACCCCGGAATGTTGATGCTCCACATCCTTCCCTGGAAGAGCAGAGGACACCACCCACCCCTCGCCCCAAGGTCCTGACAACAAACCAAAGAATGACCCCCCCACCCCAGTTCACCATGGGGATCTAACGAGTTTATCGGGCTTTTACTTCCAGAGCATGGGTGAGGGGCTACTGGCAGGAGCATGGGTGACCTCCAAACAGCCACATTAGAAATCCTTTATCCATCATGGATGATGGCTTCTCTATGGCCACACAGATGAAGCCTCTTTCCCCGGTCTTCCTCAGCCTGTAGATTCTAACACTGCCCCTAGGCCCCAGGTAAAGTGCAATTTTAGTTCAAAATTGCATGCATGTGGCTGGGGGGAGCGTCTGACCACACGCTGGCCCTCCCCTCTCCCTTACATGTGGCTAGGAGGGTACCTGAAGTCTCATTGGCCCTCCTCATTCCCTCTGTCTCTGTGGAGACGTCGACAGCGCACAGACCCATTGTGATGGACTCACACACGCAGTAGGCATCTCATGGGGATGGGGGCAGTGTGTTGGGATAACAGCACCACACAGCAGATGTGACAAGAACTGAATGGACGCTAGCCCACTGGAGGGAGGGTCTGGCAGGCCTTGCCTTCTCCCCAATTCCCTCTGCCTTGCTAAAAAACAAAAAACTGTTAGATTAGATTCCTGGAGCTGGTTCCCAAGGTCTGTTCCCTTATTTGGCCACTTCCTCCTCCTGAGGCCGTCTACCAAGGTCCAGCTATGGAAGTATTAAAGTCCAGCGACCAAAATCCCCCTTTGGCTCACCTAATTAACATGCCCAATTAAAACTAGCATGGGGTTTCTCCTTGTACCTCCATTAACTGCTGCTTTCCTGTGAGCCTCCTCTGCCTCCTCTTTATCCAGAAGCCGTCCTTTGTCCCCCAAGGACAAATATCCTCCCCCTTTCTTCCCTCTCCCTCTGTCTCCCATCTTTGTCCCTTATCCCTGCCCCCTCTGTCCCTCTGGGGCAAATAAATCTCCCTTGGTCTGAGAACCATGGGGTCCTGAAAATACTTTTCCTCTCACGAATCATGTGCAGACTTTCCCAAAGCCGGGTCCATGTCCGTGGGTCTTGGATGGCCCAGAGTCTGCATTGATTATTTTTTTTAATGAGCGTTGACATGATGTTGCCGTGCACGGTCCCACTGTGAGTACCGGAGCATTAGAACTCCGGTGGGAGAGAAACCCCCAAGCCTAAGAGGCACAGCCTGCAAGGCCAGGAGTTGGTGTCAACACAGCTGTGGACGTGGACCATGTGGCTCTTGATCATACCAGGACCTGCAACATGCCTGATGTAACTGCACAGAAAGCAGCCTCAGCTGTATTTAGGTAGCTAGACCCCAGGAAGATGCAGGCAGAGTCTCTGGCTTTCTCCAATCAGATCTGTCAATCGTACGTCCACGGCCACCCCCTGAAGTCTGTTCAGAAAGCACACACTTAGCGCTTAGCTCTGCAGACTGTGGGGATCTGGGTCACCAGTTTTGCCCATAAAAGGGCCACTTGTGCATCAAGCTGCTGAGCCAGTGACCCTCCCAAGTGAGAATAGCAGTGTTGTCTTGTATTTGGCATGAGTGATTTGAATGTCTTCCAAACACCGTTAGATGCCAGAGTTCCTGGCCCTTGGTTTGGTGCAGGTGTAAGGACTCAGAGGCTCACAGCCAAACCAGGCAGGAGAGGAGAGAGCGGTCAACGCACTCCGAGCCAGCACTGCGTCTTGCTCACTCACTGCAAGCTTCTTCCCTGCAGACTTCCCCAGGCTTGAGCTGGGAGCAGAGGTGTTCTCCTGTGTCTGGTGTGTGTGTGTGTGTGTGTGTGTGTGTGGTGTGGTGTGTGTGTGTGTGGTGTGGTGTGTGTGTGTGTGTGGTGTGGTGTGTGTGGTGTGGTGTGTGTGTGTATGTGTGTGTGGTGTGGTGTGGTGTGTGTGTGTGTATGTGTGTGTGGTGTGGTGTGGTGTGGTGTGGTGTGTGTGTGTATGTGTGTGTGTGTGTGTGTGTGTGTGGTGTGGTGTGTGTGTGGGGGGGTATGGGGTTATGGTGTGTGGGGTGTGGAGGATATGGTGTGGGGGTTATGGTGTGTGTGGGGTATAGGGGTACAGGATGTAGAATGAGCAACATCATGGAAACACTGAAGGCAAAGCTAGCAGGATTTTCATTGCTGCTCATTTGAGTAGTGGATTGCAGAGACGACTCTCTGTATGAGATCTTATGCCTTGGGTTCCCCCTTTACATGTTTCAGTCCTGAGAGCTAGAGTAAACAGAATAAGTTTTCTTTCTTCCTTCCTTCCTTCCTTCCTTCCTTCCTTCCTTCCTTTCTTTCTTCTTTCTGTCTGTCTTTCTCTCTCTCTCCTTTTAAGAATAAACACATAATCTTACCTTTCTCCTCATCATTAGAAAAATAAAAAAACAATATAGATCTTCTCCTGGACCCCATAGGGAAGAAATTGCTATATTGTCAGTTTACCAAGCATGGCGTTGGGAGGAGAGAGGCGAGTTACCTGTCCTACAGATAGGATGCCGGCATTGAACCGAGAGTTTTCCGGCATCAGTGCTCTGAGCCTCTCCTTTTTAACAGTTTATTTATTTATTTATAGTGTATCTCTCTAGGGCTGTGATGGTGGTGGTAATGGTGTGTGTGTATGTGTTTGTGTGTGTGTGTGTACGCGCGCGCGCGCATGCATGTGTGGTGTTCACGCAGCTTATATGTGGAGGTCAAAGGAAAACTTTGGCCCTGCACAGCAATCTCTCCAGTCCCACAGGACTCTTTCTGTATGCATGCTACTAACAAACTTGACAAGGTCTTATGAGGGTGCTGGGACATGCCAGGCACAGGTCTGTAACACATGTTCATGATCCATGTGTGATACAGCTAGGGTTTGGTCACCTTACGACAAGCTTGGGTCATCTGGGAAGAGGGGCCTCAATTAAGAAAGTTCCTCCATTTCATTGGCCACACCAGTAAAGGCTGTGTCTGTTTTACCCTGAAAATACAAACACAGGCTAAACACCACCGACTTCAGTTTCCAAATGAGGGAATAAACACCAAGAGGCACGACTCATTTCCCGGGGGCTTATACTGCTGTTGGCCAGGCATCCAAGCTGCAGTTGGACCTGCCGGGGGTCTCTGACGTTCCTCTCACGTCTCCTGTAGCTTCCCGAGGGACTTTGGATTCTTAGACCCGGCCGTGCCTTTTCTCCTGGAAGCAAGGGTGAGGTTTCCCGGGATATCTGCGCGCTGGTTCTGTCAGTGCACGTTTGGCCCTTACTACAGGCTTCCTAGGTGTGTCTGTTTTGCTGCGGATGACAGCATCTCCGCGAGCTGCCATTGCTCTGCCCACTGGGACCACAGCTCCAGGGACCTCTTCAGGACCCTCTGTCAGATCCCCCTGCTCATTCCTGCGTGTCCTTCCTCATCTCTGGGAGCCAGGCACCGCTTGACCCCCTAACCGGTGTCAACTCAGAGGGTTTGGCTCAGCTCTTCCGGGCTCTCTGTCCCAAACTCCTCCCCTCGCTTCCTCTGTCCTGCCGTCATGGTTCCCCTACGGCTCGCCCACTATCCAGAGCACAGTCACATCTCAAAGGCTGCCCGGTCCCTCAGTCTGAACATCTGCCCCTTGAAGCTCGCATGACTCCGCCCCCCTCCAGCCAAGTACCTCCTCCCACACCTAAACCAGCAGCCATGCTACACTCTCCGTTTCCCAGGCAGAGTTATCTTCAGAAAGATCTCTGAAGGCATAGTGAAATCTCTCTGCTTTGGGCCACTGTCCTCTTTCCTTGTCTGTAAGTGCAAAAAAAAAAAAAAAATTAAAAAATAAAATAAAAAATAGACAAAACAAAAAAACCCAAGGCCACTAATTACCAGCAAATATGAAGTACAGACCCAGTATGTATGCCAAGATAAGAGGAGGACAGAAGGAAATGAAGGAATAAGTTGACTCAGTTGAGTCTTATCTGAGATCTTAGTCCTAAGAAATGATGACGTATTTCAAAAGGAAGGAAGCTGGATGCTCCCATCATTTAGTCAGCAAGCTCACCATCCAGTCTGATAGCCAGTGCCACTTAGAAGCCAGGCAAGGGGACAAGAGCAGTGTTGTCTTCCCAGGGACGTTATGGAGGTTACATTAGCTAACATGTGCCGAGCACTTAGAGTGGGTTCAGGGACATGGTGGTACCATGTGCACATAAAACTTTAAAAAAAATTTTATTTCAATGCAAAATATTTCATTCAGTCTTTAAGGGCTTGCTTCATTTAGAAAAATATTTGCAAACTAAGATTTTTATTTGAGTCAGTTTGTCTATGTCTTATTACAACTCATAAAAGCCGGAGTTTGACTCTCATTAAAGCAAAAGGGTAAACACTCATCTTTGCCCAGCTCACTCTGGTCATATGCTTATCAAATAACTGACTTTTGTAGGCTATGGCTGCTACATTGTTATATAAACAATGAGATTATCAAGTGTTGGGTTTTCTTTGCTCTGAGGGCAAGTGTGAAATCTCGAGGTTGCCTCATTAGGTTATCACCTTGGAAGGCTGCTGTCCCCTTATTAATGAAAAGCCCTCAGCATTTGTTTTGGCTTGAACCAAGCTAACAGCGCCTTCAATTCAGCGACAGACTGTTTTCCTTGGAAGCAGAGGCCCAATGGTTTCGAATCAAGCTTTGGATTTTGGCTGGAAGTTGCCAGCTGGAAGTCAAATGACTTCACCCAATAGCAGTTGGGAGAGAAGGCTGCGTAAGCCTTTGGAAAGGAGGATTTCAGGAGTTGAAGAACCAGACGCTGGCTGAGAGAGATATGGAGAAACCATACGATTACCGTGTCAAGGCTGCCCTGGGTTTTACTTAAATGTGCTCTTTTTATTTTGCGCTTGTTTCCACCTAGACCAGAAAACAGTTCCAAGCTAACCTTGGGAGAGGTAAGAGTATATAGAAGTGTTCCCTGCCTGGAGGGCCGGCCCAAGGCTGGGTGGACAGTAAGTGACTGACGCTTTGCTTGGGAGGAAGTCAATGGAGGAACCTTCCGAGTGAGGCGATTTGCTGGCTTCTTCTTCTTCTTCTTCTTCTTCTTCTTCTTCTTCTTCTTCTTCTTCTTCTTCTTCTTCTTCTTCTTCTTCTTCTTCTTCTTCTTCTTCCTCTTATTTTTCCTGTCTTGTTTCTCTCTGCCACTGGCTGCTAGTGGGAGCAAGGGCCACGGCTCTTAGAGCACAGACAATGGGCAGCCAGCCTGGCAGCCACCAGCTGAATCTGGGCTGTAGCGCTGAGCAGGGGTTTCTCAGTGTCCTGATGTGCTAGCGTGAGTGACTGAGGTGAGCGACCAGGTTCTTAGCAATAACGCCACTGCCCTTGTACTCTGATATTTTAAGTTCTGCAGCTGAGATTTTGGGGTTTGTTTGTTTGTCAGTTAGCTCATTAAACTAGAAACCATCGGTCTTCTAGTAACGTCCTTGGAAGGACTCAGAGAGTTCCTGGAACTCTAGAAATAGTGCCTGCATAGACATTTGTTGTGGAAAATGAGCTTGCCATTCTCTAACAGTCTCAATGGGATTCCAGTCCTACTTGTTGCAGCTTTAAAGCTTAGAGGCACACCTTTGGGTGCAAGTAAAAAAACAGATAGACAGGCAGACAGATAGATAGATAAAGAAACACACACACACACACACACACACACACACACACACACACGGGGAGGGGGGGGGAGATTGGTGAAATGGCTTAGTAGGTACAACGCCTGACTCTGGGTCACACAAGGGTTTAAAATCTGAGTTCAGTCCTGGGATCCAGGTAAGGAGGGAGGAAAGGACCAGATCCATGAAGCCGTTGTCTGATCTCCATATACAGTATACAGTGCAAGCCTGTCCACTATGACAACTCTCTCTCTCTCTCTCTCTCTCTCTCTCTCTCTCTCTCTCTCTCTCTCTCTCTCTCTCAGCCATGTTTGTCTAACCCATGGCTCCTCTTAGCTTAGATGGCTTTCCTTACTTACAAACAACCGTCATGGTGGTGGATTGTGGAACAAGACCAAGGCTGTGACTATGATGTTTTAGAATCTAGAAAGAGTGACAAATGGAGCCATCAATTTGCCAGTGTGCATATTATGTTAGGGATTAGGCGGGATAACCGCTTCTTCCCTAAGGGACAGACAGACAGACAGGCATTACCCTGAGTGGGTGGGATTTCAGGAACTCTGTGAAGTTAACAAGAGGAGACTTGGAACGTTACAAGAGGGAGGGGGAGGCTGCATTCCAGGCATAGCTCATGGTATGAGAAAGCACCAAATTTGGAGTGGTACAAACAGATGAAGAAGGTGTCGAGTTCTCTGGGGAGGAGAAGAGGGTACAGGATACCAAATATGGGGGGGAAACTCCGGCAAGACGCTTTGGTGACTTAGCTGAGGCCAAAACAGAGGGAGCCATCCCAGAGGCTTGGGGGGAACCTTCCCTCGCCTATCTTAACAAGGAGAAAGACATTTCACAAAATATGGAGGCAGAGTTCAGACAGAAAGTCACTGCCTGTTCCGTGGGAAAGGCTGACCCCATCAAAGAACCGTGGGCATAGGAAAAGCTACCTGGTGCAATGGCTTGTCCATTTGCAAAGACGTTATAATAGGAGCTGGCTTTGGGGCGAGCGAGAGGTAAGGAATTAGAAAGCAAGGTGGAGAAGTGAGTATAAGGAAGAGAAAACACTAAGCAGCAACATGGGCTCTCCAGTTTCATCAAGGGCCAGCCATCTTCTACCCCGTGATGTCTGCACAGCACTCAACCCCACCCAGATGGTGGAATGCAGCATCCTTCTTCTGTGACCCCCCACCCCTGCCCTTAGCAAGCCGCTCCTCAAACAGCTGCAGCAGTCATGCAACAGATAGTAAGATGGGTTCATCAGAACCTTGGGGACGGATACTGCTGTCCCAGGAGCAGTCTGGAGAGCCACAGAATCCCCATTTCCTGAAGGGCTGGGTCGGACTTGTGAACTCTTGAGAGTCCCGGGATTACTTTCTCCAAAGCACGAGATCTGAAGTCCGGCTCTCCTGCGTACACCCTTCCTAGAAGGGAAAGGCGTGGATGCCTTCCATCGTTAGGTCGGCTCAGGACCTGCGCTCAGGGTCTTGGGTAGGTTTCCTTGCAGTACTGGCTCCCGGTCTTTCTGCAGGGAGCTCCCTGGTGCTTTTGGCTTCCCAACAGGCAGCCGCCTTTGTGTCTACAACTTTTTCTCCCCACCTCCTCAAGCATGCCTTCCCCTCTAGTGGGATAAATTTAGCCCTTGAATGAATGCAGAAAGGAGAACACGTGGAAGCAGATGCATGCCAAGTAGCGTTCAAATATAGGCTTGGCACACACACAACGGTCCCCAAGCAGATCCAAGATTTTCTGTTTCCTTCCCTGCTGCCTTTCTCTGTTTCTCTTATTGCATCCTCAGGCCACTACAGCCTTTTCTGCATCTCTGTCAGCTAACTCAATGTGGAGGCTGAGATGTGGGCTGTTTGTCTTCAGTTACTCATGACTTGGGGGTCATCTGGGAGTCAGAGAAAGCCCCAGATACCCACGGTAATTTCCCTTCACTGGTTCGGTTCTCTCAGAGACCCATCTACAACTTAAAGCACCTTTTTTTTTTTTACGTCTTATGTAAAGGCATCGGCTTTTATCCTACTGTGTTGAGTCTAGGCAATTGCAAAAACATATCTCCAGTAGTCACCATATGCCCATGTCGTCACTAACTGTACTGGTTAGTTTTGTTTTGTTTTTGTCAAATTGACACAAGCTAGAGTCATCTGGGAAAGGGAACTTCAGTTGAAGAAAAAACACAATCTCTATCAGATTGCCTATAAGCCAGTCTATGGGTGCTTTTTGGGGTGATGACTGATATGGGAGGGTCCAGCCTGCTGGGGGCAATTCCATTCATGGATGGATGGTCCCAGGTAGCATAAGAAAGCAAGATGAACAAGCCGTGGGAGCCAACCAGTAGCCAGCATTCATCCACGACGTCTACTTCAGTTCCTGCCTCCAGTCCTGTCCTGAGTTGCCTCCAGATTGGCCCATGACCCAGGAGTATGCAATGACAGAAACCCCTTTGTTCCCCCCCCTCCCAAGTTCCTTTTGTTCACAGAACTTTGTCACCACATAGAAAGCTAGCTATGGTGCTGACGATGGAGACTTAACTTACACTCTGGTCCCTTCTACAGTTCTAGCAAGAAGCAGGTAGGCAGCTGGCTATCCTATACACAGTTGGCAAACAGGAAACCTAGCCTTGATGTGCAGACAGGAGAGCTCAGCCTAGAACCCCCAGGTGGCTTGTATGCAGTCACATTCAGTGGCAGAGTTGGGGGGGGGCGTCTGGATTTGAGCCTCTGTCTCATGTGTCTTTCTATTCCAGGCCGCTCTGGGGAAAAGCAGTAAGTCCAGGGAGGGCTGTGCACCAGCAAGGTGTGACTTTTGAGACTGTCTGGTTGACTCCTCTGAATGAAACGGACACAAGAAGGAGATGGTCTCTGTTGGTGGTGGGCTCAGAGGCTAGGCGGTTTCCAGTTTGACTCTTGTCCCCCAGCCATCAGGTTGGACAGGATTGCAGTGGTGGCCATCATCTGCCCGATGCCAAGCCTGTAGGAAATCTCCCTTCTGGTCAGCAGTGCTGACTTGTAGAATGCACAGGGCATTATGGACTCATGGATAATAATGAAAGTGTTGATAACCGCACGACCAAAAGGGATTCCATGCTGACAGGGCACATCATGGTCATTGTGCTAGGACAAACTGGACTGGCTCTCTAAGCGCTCTGTGTAGCCAGTGACCCAACTGTGTCTAGTGGCATCACATCACCAGGCTAGGGTAGATCTGACCTTCCCAGAGATCTTTCTAGTTTGTAACTAATTCAACCCTAACCCTGAGATCAGCTCTACAGATGAGCACTTTCGATATGTAGGCATGGGCTCTTTCCCCAGATACTCAGCAATCGTTAGCCCATCTTCTCCTGGGTCCTAGTCTATCACCACTTAAGAATTCTCTTCTGGGGCTGGGGGCGTGTAGCTCAGTTGGTAGGATGCTCTCCTGGCATACATGAAGCCCTGCATTCAGTCACCAGCTCTGTGGGAACCCAGAGATGATGGCACACACCTTTACCCCACTCAGGAGGTAGGGGTAGAAAAAAAATTTAGAGTATCTTCTTATTTAGACTTTTAACTCACTCCCAAAGATGAGTGTATGAATATATTAGTTATCAGAAGGGGAATCCAGTAATGAAACTTCTGGGGCTAGAAAGGGTTTATTGGTTAAGGGCACTTCCAGCTCTTCCAGGGGACCTGAGTCTGGTTCTCAACATCCACATGATGGCTCAAAAGCATTCGGTTCAAGGACTCTGGTGTTGTTTTCTAGCCTCTGAAGATACTGCATCAAGGTGGCGCAATGCAGGCACGCATACCAAAACTCATACATAAAATGAAGTAAAAATATTGCTAGGTCACCTCTTTTTATTTAAAGAAAAAGATGCATCAAAATAATGCATCAGTCTGGTCTGGGGAACTCCGGATACTGCAGTGATTGGCCTGAATCCTTAAGACCTACCCATCCGCAGTATACACTGTGGCTCATGTAAGCCCTCGGCATCTGTTATACTCACAGCATCCTTAGGAGGCACCCCAGACTCCAGCTGGTCTTTCCAACTCCTGTCTATTCTATGCCATGCCTACCTCCCACTTCCCAGTTCCACTTTTCAAAGCTTTTATTAAAAAGACTATTCTGGCCGGGGGTTGGTGGCGCATGCCTCTAATCCCAGCACTCGGGAGGCAGAGGCAGGCGGATCTACAGAGCGAGTTCCAGGACAGCCTCCAAAGCAATACAGAGAAACCCTGTCTTTAAAAAAACAAACAAACAAACAAACAAAAACAACAGCAAATAAACAAGGCTATTCTGAGCCAACTTATAAATAGCACAGTATTGTTCCCAAACACATTGTAGTGAGGTATGTGTGGGATGATTCTTAAACATCCAACACTCATTCCTGTCCACTGTCTTTGCACAGCCCCGTTCTCTCCAGCGACTCACATCAGTCAAGTGAAAGCGCCGTTGTCAAAGCCAACCAGGAGAAAAGGAAGCCACCCTACTGGATACCAGTGTTCATGCCGAGCCGAATTTCCCACCAAGTCTGCTACACAGAGACCTTGGTCTCTGGTTGTACTTAAATAGCTATGGCCTACTTTGCCTCACTCTGGCACTCTGCACCTTAACCTTTCTCTGTCTTCTTGCTCCACGGGGACTCCCTGTGTGTTTCCATCATTTTTATCCACAGAGAAAAACAGCATCTCCTTGAAGGCCCATCAACTTTCCCGAAGTGCTGATAGCCACGGGAGCCAAGGGGATGACACCAAGCATTGTTTTTCTCCTTTGGATTCTGCGTAACAATCGTATACTTTATAATATATATATATACTAATTATGCGAAGATGCGTAATAATGACATTCCTGTGCATTTATGTAACATGCCTTCATCACGCACGCCCTATAACCTCTCTGTCCTCGTCCACTCTTCCCCTCCCACATCCCTGACAGTCTCCCTTCTACTTTCTTGCCCTGTTTCTCCCTCTAGACCCTACTTATCGCATATGCTTTAAATGACCATATGGTCTCAAATGATCTCGTGCAAAAGAGAGACAGCCAAGACAAATGTTTTGGGAACTAGTGGCACGCCTTCTGCATCACTTTGTGTAAGGAAAGCTTCTGGTTGCAAATTCATTTAACACTCTTAGCTACTCCTCAACAAGACTTTGACTTTCCTTAAAGGATGGGCTTTAGAGAGAGTCATTCCTCTCTTGGCTTATCGAGCTCCTGTCTCCCCGCAGGGAAAAATGGTCTGTGCTCATTTGCAGTTCCCAAAAGACTACTGTCCTAAAATAGATTCCTGAAATTTCTATCATCAAAACATTTGTTTTGCATATCAACCATTTTGCATTCGGTCTGTGTGGTGCTTTACCATGCCTAATCTATCAAAGAGATCATCCCATCCCCTGCATGGTACTTATGCAGCACAGCTTAATGTCCTAGTGAGGGCCAGTGATTTGTGACACAGATTCTGCACCACTGTAAGGTAGCGTACTAACTTTCAAATGTTTGGAAAGAAAACAGTAGCCAATTTAGCTGTGGCAGTGGACTGTCAAACCTTCGTAATATCAGGCCATCACTTAATGTCTCGGATTGAATAGCTACAAAGTAAATGTATATTTGGGTTGCAATTTAATTGGCGGAGTGTTGGATCCCTAACAACCCATTAACCAGGCATGGTGGAACCAGGCACAGTGGTCTATGCCTGCAATCCCAGCAGCAGCAGCAGCAGCAAAGAGAGACAGAGACAGAGAGACAGAGACAGAGACAGAGAGACAGAGACAGAGACAGAGACAGAGACAGAGAAGCAGAAGGATTAGTAATTCAAGGCTGGCCGTCCATAGCTACATAGTGAGTTTGGGGCTAGACTGAATCACATGAGACCCTGTCTTTAAAAAAAAAATAGACACAATTTGGATTATAAATGTCTGTGTTTATGATGGGTCCAATGGTTTCCAAATACTGGAATTTAGATTAAGAGGGAACAGTGTTGGAAGAGAAAATAGTCTCCGTCTGCTTCTTCTTGGCCAAACCTCAGCCACCCATTTCCTATGTCCTCCTGTTTCACGAGGGGTTCTCCGTTACAAGCAACTGAAATGAATTCTGGTTGACAAGGGGGGGGAGGAAGGCACTTGCATTGCTTTGGGCGGCCTGAAGAATAGCTAGGGAATTTATAGAAGGGGCTTGACTCACAGGCAAGACCTAAGATGAGCTACCAGCCTGGAAAAAAAAAGTTTTCAAAAATGTTGTCTTCAAACTTCTTGGCAGGTGCACGTGTTTGGCTAAGCCCAGATTGCAAGCCATGCATAGCTTCCGGGAGATCTGGGGAAGCAGGTGTCTGGCAATTACCCACTTCTGTGATGGTATATGGCTCTGCTTCTCATATGGTTTAAATGTGGGGAGCCCCCAAAGATGGGAAAGGGTTCACTAGTTGGTCAGCTAAAAATAATCTGTGTCTCCTACACTTCCTAACTGGGTTAAGCCCAGTATCTGGTACCCTAAATTTCCTCTCTCCTTTGACTTTCTGCCAGACCTGCTTTGGCAGTCCTTAGTGCTGGGCAAGCATAATCATGGCTTAGTGGGTCGGTCTCAGGTGCTTAAAAACCACCAAGGAAGTATACACAATTAAGTCTTTGGTCCTGTGAATTCCATTAATAATATGGTTCTAAGTCTATTTGTAATTCCCATTTACCATATAGAAATTTAATTCTGTGCATGTGTTCATAAAATTCTAACGCAGATGTCTGCCTAGGATTCATTTTTTTAAAGTTATTCGTATTTGTTTGCATATATGTCTGGGCACCACATGTGTGCAGTACTCATGGAGGCCAGGAGAGGGCATCAAACTCCCTGGGACTGGCTTCAGGGACACTCGCGAACTGCCATGTGGGTGCTGGGAATTGGACCTGCACCCCCTGGGAAAAACTACCAGTGCTCCTAACCACTGAGCCATCCAGTCCCAGGATCCACGTTTTAGTGCTCCCCTTTATAAATCAAGTTTTCCCTCCAACCCCATGAGTCTCAACCGCTTCCCTTCTGCGGGGTAAGCCAGGCCAACGAAGGTGAACTTCCCCAACTTCTCTACTGAGATTCTAACTCAAAATTTCTTCCTGTCTTTCCCCATTTCCCCCCTTGGAAAGAAGGATGCATTCTTCCTTCTTTCGAAGCAGGGGGACTGGTGAAGGTTGCTAACGAAGATGCCCCTTCTGGTCCAACCTGAGACCACCCCGCCTAATGTGTCTTCCTTCTCCTTTGCTCTATCATCCCTCAAGTCTAATACTCCCTTTGATCCCCCAAATATCCAAGCCCTTCTTGAACTAAAACAAAAAACAAAACAAACAAACAAAAAAACCTTCTCTCCCTTGACTCCCTTCCTGTTCCCTCCACACTGCCTAAGACCTGGAAAACGTACTTGTACTCGGAATGTTTTCCAGCTTTCGTGTTTCTTGTCCCCCCTCCTGAGCAACCCCTGGCTTGCCCTGCTGAGTGTAACTGCTCTCCTGCATCACCCACAGTCCTTACTCCTGAAGCCCACAGCTTCTCCTTAGCCGGCTTCCTCCTGGACCTCACAGAAGCACCGTGTTGTCCTCCCCTTGGGGCTTTTGGTGTTAAGTCTCCTGATTCTTCCTTCTGCTCTCCTGATCTTCTCCCTGATATGTGCCCTGGTCTGACTCCCCCCCTCCCGTCTTGGCTCCTCTCAGCTCCCGGGTTAGCTGTGACTAGTAAGGAAGGAGACTGCACTGAGCATTGTGGCCCAACCCTAGCTATTCAGCCCTGAAGTTCAGATCTTCACAAATGATGGCTTCCAACGAGTCGTCCCAGCTCTTTTCCTTCCTGGTCTCTCCTTCCAACCCCCCCCCCTTTTTTGTGAAAATTAATCGGTGTTAGGTATACACAGTATACAAGTCTGCGGTTCTAACCATTTTTAAATAGACATTTTGGTGACTCTAAGTACATTCACCTTTGGCGACATCATTCCCTACCCCTCATCCCCAAGAATCCAACCCAGGACTAGCTCAGTACAGTGCTCTACGATTGAGCTATATCCCTAGCCGCTATCACCAGTCATTACTTCTTGGTATCTTTTAAAACACATAGTGTGCTGAATGGAAAAGGGAGCCGTTTCTTCTTAGCATGCTTGGTATCAGAGCTTGTATATCGGACAGGCCACCACCTCCCTATCATCTGAGAAGCTGGTGTTCAGTGCCTACGCTGCTGCTCTGAGGCGGCCCTTATGGTGTGGGTACGCCCGTGACCACGTGACTTGCACGTGGTCCTCGCCCTTAAGTGCTTTACCCACTGAAACATCTCCTCCGGTCCCTATCACTCATTTTTAAGGATGTCTCCGTGAGGTTACTTGCGATCCTTCACTTTTTTTTTTCCTCAGAGAAGGAGACTGAGGCTCAGAGTGACTTAGTTGTCGTCCAGGCTTCAAACTCTGAGCCATCTACAACTGGGTGAGTCACTAGAAAAGTGGCCTATCTGGTGATGAACCCTGCCCTTGAGGGCTCTGCCGTTTGAAACACAAGACATCATTTATCTGTTGGAAACGTCCCCACGTGGAGCCCAAGCATCTGGAGCCAGCTAGAAGGCGCTGGGGATACTGGGTGGCCGCAGTGGGCATGTAAGGACACGTGCTGGGGCCCCGCATTCTGCCAAAGGCCCCTTCTGCTGGCATCTCTGCTCAGAGGGGAGGCGCCGCCGCCCGGTCTTGTCTGGAGTGCTCTGCACTTGGCCACCGGGGCGCACCAGCTGTGCGCCCCCAGCCCCCCCAGCTCGCTTATCACTGGCGCTCCAGGTGCCCCACTCGCAAGCGACAGCGGCGGCCACGAGTCCCCCACACCCCAGGGGCGGAGCGAGGCGCAGAGACGTCAGGGCGGGGACCTAGCTCGGCCGAACGCGCTCTCCCGGAGGCTGCCGGCGGCCCACGTCCCCGCGGCCGGTGGTGGCAGCGGGGTAGAGACCTGGGCTCTTGCAGTTCGCAGCGGCACTGGGGCGCAGCCAGGCGACTGCGCCGGCGGAGACCGAGGCTGAGCTCTGAGCCAGCCTTGCGCACAGCTTTGCCCGCCGCCCCCCCCCCCCCCCCCGGAGTGGACCCCACACGCCCCTCAGCTGTCCCCGGGGTCGTTGAGACCCCCACGAGTGCCCTTCCATCTTCTTGAGTGACTACAGCGTGTGTTTTGTTTTTCTTTCTTCTTCCCCTGCCCGTGTGCCCTTCTCCAGGATGGCAGAAGCGGAATTGCACAAGGAGAGGCTGCAAGCCATAGCAGTAAGTCCACTTTTCATTTCATTTTCTTGCTCTATTGTCTGGGGTGGACGGAGACCAGTGGGCTCAGGGCCAGCAACATACCAGCCTGGTAGCCACAGGCCCCATGCTAGGGTGAAAGTCTGTCCAGGCTTGGCGACTCTGCCTTTTGCCTTTATATATCTGTAGGCTAAACCCCTGGGGCGCACTTGGGACTGGGAAGATTTGAACACGGAAAATTGGCTTAGAAATAAGATGATTGCCACGGGCGCTTCAGGGATAGACTAAACAGGCAGGGGAGTGCATGTGTGTGTGTTGCAAGGGACTCCTTGAAATGTTGTCACCCAGTGCCCAGAAGTAGGTTGGGCTTCCAACTCCGGAGAAGGGAGAGCATGGTGACCCCCCACGTTGGCTGTCTTCCTCTGCCTTGCCGGCTATCCAGCCAGCTAACTGCGTGGTATAACCCTCCCCCAGAAACCAGGAGCGCTGGTTTTCCTCCCCATTTGACGTGAGCAAGGGCTCTGGCACAGGGCACCACCCTAGAGAGGGCAGGGGCTTCTTTCAGCTGGGTCTTGGGAGCAATATTTCAGGAGAGTCTCTTTCTCGTGGGTGTGGATCATCTGAAGACTGCTGGTTCAGCATACAAAGGAGCATCGGGTTTGTGCAAAGTTCTGCCGTTTGAGAGCACCATGCCGTGTGTATCTCGGGCTCAGACAAGAGCTGTCTGGCACTGCCTAGACGCCGGGAGAGGCCTCGCCAGTTCTGCCAGCGTTCCGCAGATGTGGTTTTCACTGGAGCCACCACAGCTGGATTACATATTTCCTTTGCAGATGAGGGAATGGTTACTGGCGCTATATGAAATAATAGCAAATTAAAGGAGGTCTGCTAGAATGCTGGCATAAAAGAATCTCCAGACATTCCTCTGCCTAAGTACCCCCACCCAGCGCTCTGTGCTCCAGGAGTTCCCTGGAAACATATAAATTGGTTGGAGAAATACTGTGTAATGTTTTTGGAAGCAACATATGTAGAAACGTGTTTCCAAACGCCTTTGGATGGAGTCTTCATTGGGAAAACACATGCAGGCCTGATGTAGGTTCAGTAGCCTCTCCCCCCCCCCCACGCCCTTTCTCAAACTATTCTGATCTGAAGGAGAAAGCTGTGCATGGGCGGTGGTTAAACACCCTGCTTGGCCTCTGAGGCTGTCTTTTGAAGTTGGTCCTTGGACCTAGGGATAGGGAGGCTGTTCTTTTTTTCTCTTTCCACGCAGGGCATGCGCATTTTGGTGGTTAATGAAGTTGCTCGTGGGTTCTAAAGCCAGCGACAATGTGGCAGCCTGCCTTGGTTTGCTACAAATGGTGCCATGGAGCCGGTGGCTGTTTTGTGTAACTGGATAATGGGGCCGCTTCAACTGTTGACAAGTGTCTGCTTCAGACAACACTGGGCAGCCCCATGGGCTGCTGCTGGTTGTTTGCAACAGTTGCCACATTTTCTTGCCTCTGTGTGGCCAGTGTCTCTGGATGCCTGGGGGGACAGCTGACTCCATGAAGGGACTGAGCACAGTGCCAGTGATAGCTAACACCAGGACCACTCCCTTCCAAGTAGGTTGGAGTAATCTCAGCCATGGGCCAAGGTGATTTTTCAATAAAGATCTAGGGGTACCCTCAGGGCTCCCTTGAGCAGATAGAGAGATAAATACCCACTCGTTTCTGTTCAGTTGTGGAACAGAGTTAGTTCATCCAGTGGACCCAGGAACTGTTGAGTTTTGGGAATGGAGGGGGGGTTCAACATCAGAAAAAATTCTGTGTTGGGAAATTTTTTCTCTAAGTGTTATCATTGTGTGTGTGTGTGTGTGTGTGTGTGTGTGTGTTTGGTGGAGAGAGAGGGGGGGACAGTGAGGGTGGACTTTGTGGCTACAGTCAGTAGATAATTTTATGCCACATTTTGGCTTGGTCCACACTTTCCAGAATCAGCAAACCTTGCCTTTCTCGGCCACTTTCCCAGAATTCTCAGGGGGCTCTGAGATGCTTACAGGACTTCCCTAGAACCTATCCTGCCTGAAGTCCCTCTGGAGATAAAAGGGAAGAGAGTGATCCTTCACATACTCACCTACTCAGGTTCCTGGGTCTTTCTCAATCTTGAGTCTGAGCCTCAGTTTCTCCTCTATAAATTGGGCCCAGGACTTGATCTCTTGGGTGACCTTTGAAGACTAGGGAGGTGAGGTACTTTTGGCCCGCAGTTGCCATGGAATGATGTTCAAGGGGAGCCCTCAGGAGTTGTCTATGCTGCTGGGAGGGCAGGGGACAGCTCTGATTTCCTTTTCAACTCTGGGGGGCGGGGTCAGGTTCTAGCCAGGATCACTTTCCCCACAGCAGGGATTGGGACCTGAGGGTCATTCATGGGCTCATTCCCCAGGCTTCTGTGGAGTGTCTCTCCTATGTATTGCCAGTGCTGACAACCACCATCACGAGAGTCTTGCCCTGGCACGACTGATTTAAAAAGGAGTGTGTGTGCCTCACTATGTAGCCGTGGCTGGCCTAGACCAGACTGACCTTGCATTCACAAACATCCACCTGTCAGAGCCTCCTGGGTGCTGGGATTAAAGGTGTGTGCCTCCATTCCCTGCCTCAAGCTTAAGGTTTGAAAGGTCAGGTATCTGGTGATCCAGGATACCTGTTTCACGATTGTCGGTGGGACTCACCCAGGATGAGTTACTAAGTGGCTACCGTGCCTCGCCTGAATCTGATAAGTCAATGAGAAAAGAAGGCTCTGGCATCCTTTCAAAAGAGGAGTAACTCCATCTTTGGCAAGTGTCTTTCCTCCTTCTTGGGTCCTTTCCTTCTAGAGAAACTCCCACAACCATACCTTTAGAAGCAACAAAATGCTTCTGGCAACAGAGTAAGTGAGGAGAAATAATACAATAATTACCATTTATTAAATGTTGTACATTCAGCAAGGCCTTGGGCTAAAAGCGCTGGCTTCAATTAAGCACAAAGTTGCTCACAGTCAAGGATGCGTTGGGAGAGCGCGTGAACAATTATTGTGAATTACAAGTGAGACAGTGCCCACGACCTCGAGTGTAGAACATGGAAACCAGCCTCAAGATGCGTGGAGCATTCCACACTCCTGGGAACTAAGAACAGTCACTTGAACAGGCTTGGAGGTTGGATGAAATAACATGGATACTAACCTTCTCAATCCCCACAGGAGTTTATTCATTTTTGTTTGCTACTGTTTCTTTGGAACAATTGGTGTGGGGACGAGAAAGGCCAAAGGAAGAAGTTAATTCAGTAGCTGGCAGTAAGAACATGGTGACAGACTGGTGTGTGTGTGTATGTACACATGTATGTATTATCTGTGTGCATGTGTGGTATGTGTGTGTACATGTGTGTGTTATCTGTGTGCATGTGTGGTGTGTGTGTTACATGTATGTGTTATCTGTATGCATGTGTGGTGTGTATTACATGTATGTGTTATCTGTGTGCATGTGTGGTATGTGTGTTACATGTATGTGTTATCTGTGTGCATGTGTGGTGTGTGTGTTACATGTATGTGTTATCTGTGTGCATGTGTGGTGTGTGTGTTACATGTATGTGTTATCTGTATGCATGTGTGGTGTGTGTTACATGTATGTGTTATCTGTGTGCATGTGTGGTATGTGTGTTACATGTATGTGTTATCTGTGTGTATCCATGGATGTGTTATCTGTGTGTGTGCACATGTATGTGTTATCTGTGTGCTTGTGTGGTATGTGTGTTACATGTATGTGTTACCTGTGTGTATCCATGGATGTGTTATCTGTGTGTGTGTACATGTATGTGTTATCTGTCTGAGTGTGTGTGTGTGTGTTTACAGATGCAGTAGCCTTTGCCATTGTGTGTAGAGGTCAGAGGTATATGTTGGGTCTCTTCTTGTCTTCTATTTGTCTTCTGAGACAGAGTTTCTCACTGAACCTTGAGCTCTCCAGTTATGCGACACTGGCCTGTCAGCCCCCAAGATCTGCCTGTCACTGAAGTGTAGACATGTGCCTCCATGCTTGGACTTTTTATGGATGCTGGGAATCTGAACTCAGAGCTCCATCCAGTATCTTACCCACTGAGCCATCATCCCAGCTGCCATGAAATGCTTTTATAGATTTATTTATTTTTATTTATGTGCATATGTGTGAGTTTATATGCAACATGTGGCTGCTGGTGTCTGAGGCGTCCAGAGGTAGTCGGGTCTCTTGTAACTGGAGTTATAAGTGATTGAGTCCTGCTGGGAACTGAACCTGGGTTCTCTGCAATAACAGAAAGGACTCTTAACTGCTGAGCCATCTCTCCAGAGCCCCAGGAAATTCGGTTAACAGACATTACCTCACTTAACTCTAGCAAGAAGCTTATGAAGTAGACATTATTGTCCTACACCATTTTAGACATGGCCGAGTCGGAAATCTGTTAGAACATTAAATGGACAGTGACAAAGTCAGGGTTTCAGTCCTGGGAGACAACTGCTGCACCTCATCTTTCCTCACGGGGACACTGTGCAGGTGGTCTACATCCTCAGCGTGAGCCCCAGAAAGGGCAGCAGGATGCATAGCATTAGAAAAACTTGAGTAAACCCGGAGACCTATATCCTTCGGAGACTCTTCCAAGCCTGGGTTGAGCATGGAAAAATCCCAATATAAACTCTAACCCAGTGAGTAACATTCTCTTGGGGAAGAATCTGCTGGGTCTCAATGGAAACTGACTTGGGAGGAGGGTGTTGTTATGTTCCCATATCCAAGGGGTAGATAGCTTTCCTTGGGCATGAGTCAAAATGAGTAAATGTTGTAGAGGTTGTCTTGGGTAAAAGCCCCAGGAGTCCCATAGACAGGCCCTCAACATGACTATATCAGTGTGTGATGGAAAATGGAATGTTAATCCGACCTGCACTTCTCTTTGTGGAGGCTTGTCAGGGCTAGGAACCCCCTCTGTGGGATGATAAAAACCTCCTTTGCACGTGCACGGAACCTCACAGCTCCCACAAATGGTCTTCATACATTCTCT